AGGCGCGGGGGGTACCTTGTAGAGGGTGCCCTGGGTGCCCCCCTGCTCCAGCTGCACCACCACGAAGGCGTGGAGGAAGTTGGAGGCGATCATGTCGGGCACGAACGGGGTGTTCTCGTCCTGGAAGACGATGGCCACGATGTCGTTCCCGATGTGGCGCTTCCGCTGCAGCTGTGGGGACAGGGGGGGACAGGGGGGACATGGAGGGATAGGGGGGGACACAGCAGGTTATGAGGGACAGAGGGTGATCACATCACGAAGCCAAAGGGAATGGAAGGTCCTTCATCCCAGAGATGCCCCCCAGCACCCATGGGTGCTCCCCCAGCCCTCGGCATCCCATAGATGTCTCTCAGCACCCATGGGTGTCCCTGGAGCTTTTATAGCCCACAGACAATCCCCAGCACCCATGGGGGCCCCAGGAGTCCTCTGCATCCCACACATACCCCCCCAGCACCCACAGATGCCCCCCCCCCCAGATGCACCCATGGGACCACTTTCACCCCCATCCCTCTCAAGCACCCATGTGTTCCCCCCATACCCTTGCTCCCCTTTTACCCCCCCAGCACCCCTGGGTGTCCCAGACACCCCTGCCCCCCAGAGCCCCCCCAGCAGCTCTGGGTGCCCACCTGCTGGGCGTCCCCCTCGGTGTAGGGCAGCTTGGTGGACACGTGGAACATGATCTCCTTGTCGCGGAAGTGGCAATAGACGGACTCGCTGCCCGTCTGCCCGTGGGTCACGTCCAGCCCCCCCCGGAACCTGGGTGGGTGGGTGGGTGAGACAGGCACCCTGAATGCCCCTGGGTGCCCCCCTTACCCCCCAGCGCCCCCCACACACCCTTTGAAGTCCCGCAGCTGCACCCGCTGGCCCAGGACGTCGAGGAATTCGGTAAAGGCCGGGCTCTCCTCCGTGGTGCCGAAAAGCTCCTCCTCCGAGGTCTGGGGGAGGGTGGGGATGGGTGTCAGCACCCACCTGGGACACGCCCCTCACCCCCACCCACCCCACCCCGTGCTGTACCTGCCCCAGTTTTTGGTAGATGACCCCAAATTTGAAGTGGTTGCTGAGCACGTGCTCGTCGAAGGCGAGGATGAGGCGGGAGGCCTGCAGGGTGGGGAGGGGGCAGAGGTTGGGGGTGGAGGGCACCCATGGGTGCCCACGCGTCCCCCTCCCCACGCCCCATTACCTTGGGGTAGAGCACAGGGTAGAACCGGTCCACGTTGACGTCCTCACACACCAGCTGTGGGAAGGGGGGTGATGCCACGAGGGGGCCGGGGGGGGGCACCCATGGGTGCTGCCGAGGGTGTTTGGAGGGCACCCATGGGTGTTGGTGTGGGGGGTCACACCCACCTTGGCCATCTGCACCACATTGGGGAACTCGGCCAGGCAGGAGATGGGCACCACGTCGTGCAGGGTGCGGGCGCGGGTGCTGCAGGGCGAGGAGGGGGTCAGGGGGGCACCCCCCGCCCCAGGCAGCGCCCGTGGGTGCCCCCCACACCCCGCTCACCGCAGCAGCAGGTGGAGGTGCTCCTGCTCGTCGTACTTGAGGGAGAAGACGAGGTGGCCCAGGGCCGGGTCCAGGGAGTAGTAGTTGAAGTGCTCCTGTGGGGAGGGGCCGAGAACCCGTGGCTGTGCCAGCGGGGGCTCACGGGGGGGCACCGGGGAGGTGGAGCACCCGAGTCTGTGAGCAGCGTCATCCACCAGCACCCATGTCCATGGGGCACCCATGTCCATGGGGCACCCGTGTCCATGGGCATTGTTATCCATGAGCACCCATGTCCATGGGGCATCCTTTTCCATGGGGCACCCATATCCATGGGGCATCATTATCCACGAGCACCCATATCCATGGGGCACCATTATCCATGAGCACCCATGTCCTTGGGCACAATCACCCATGAGCAGCCATGTCTACGGGGCGTTCTTATCCATGGGGCATCGTTATCCCCATATCCATGGACATCATCATCCACGAGCACCCATGTCCATGGGCACAATCATCCACCAGCACCCATGTCCATGGGGCACTGTTATCTGTGGGGCACCCATGTCCATGAGCATCATCATCCCCAATCACCGTGGGCACCCATGCTGATGGAGACCCCGTGCCTGTGCACACTCATGGGGGGCACCCACGGGGCACCCGTGTCCATCAGCACCCATTCCAGGGGGTACTCACGTCCTTAAGCACCATCATCCGTGAGCACCCACGTCCATCAGCCACCCATCCTACAGACACGTGTTGGTCCCTCGTGCCCATGGACACCCACCCATGTGCATGAGCACCATTATCCATGAGCACCCATCCCATGGAGCATCCGTGTCCATGAGAGCACCTTCATCCATGGGGCACCCACATCCATCAGCCACCCATCCTACAGACACTTGTAGGTTCCCTGTGCCCATGGACATCCACATCTACACTCACCCAGGTCCCTGAGCACCCATATCCATGTCCACATCCACATCCATATCCATATCCATGAGCACCCATCCCCTTGGAGCACCCATGTCCATGGGACACCCAGGTCCTCGGTCACCCATGCCCATAAATACCCACACTCATGAGCACCCACGTCCACAAACACCCACACCCATGGGGCTCCTGTGCCCATGGATACCCAACATCCACCTCCAGGAGCACCCAAGTCCACGAGCACCCAGTCCTATGGGGCTTCCACACCCGTAAAAGCACACACCCACATCCATGAGCACCCGTGCCAGAGAGTACCCACGTCCACGAGCACCCATGTCATGGGGTTCCCAGCCCCATGGATACCCACACCCACATCCACGAGCACCCATGTCATGGGGTTCCCAGCCCCATGGATACCCACACCCACATCCACGAGCACCCATGTCATGGGGTTCCCAGCCCCATGGATACCCACACCCACATCCACGAGCACCCATGTCATGGGGTTCCCAGCCCCATGGATACCCACACCCATGTCTATGAGCACCCATGTCATGGGGTTCCCAGCCCCATGGATACCCACACCCATGTCTATGAGCACCCACATGCACGAGCATCCATGTCCACGTGGTCTCCATGACCACACCCATGCCCACCCACACCCGTGGGGTGATCCCTCCACCCCCAGACCCCAGCCCTGCAGCCCCCAGGGCCTCACCTTGCCCAGGAAGTGCTTGCGGTAGATCTTGGCCGTGTGGTTGCCCTCCAGCTTTACCCGCGTGCCGGGGGCCGGGGTGGGGGGCGAGTCGGGGGCCCCGCTCAGCTGGTGGTTGGTGCCCTCGATCCAGTAACCCCCGAACTGCGGCAGGAGGATGAGGGGGAACGGCCCCTCCCGGCCCAGCACCTGCACCCAATGCCACGGTGGGTGCTCTGGGCACCCCACCCTCCACCCCCCATCATCCATCGCCCCCCTGTCTGGAGGGGTGGGTGCTGTACCTCATGCACGCTGGGGTAGGGGATGTAATCCTCCTCCGTCTGCAAGACAAGGGGCGAGTGATGGCCACAGCGGCACCCAGGGCTGCTGGGGTGGGCGATGGCCATGCTGGCTCCCATGGGTGCTGGTTGGGTGCCCCCCACCCCAATGACACCTACCTTGAGCGGCGGGGGCACGGCGTGGCGCTGCTGGGCCATCCTGCTGCCCTGGGGAGACGGGGGCTGTGGGTGCCCATCACCCCACTGGGGACGAACACCCTTGGGTGGGGGGGGCACTCCACGGGGGCTTACCCGGGGGTGGGGTGGTGGTGCTGGCTGCAGACACGTCTAGGTGGTGCGAGAGGGTCCGGGGGGGCCCATGGCGCTTCCTGGGGGAGAGGAGAACTCCCCCACAGCCCCTCGCTGGGACGCCCGGGCAGCAGTGCCACCCCTGGAGCCGAGGGATGGCAGCGGGGCAAGGGCCACCCTGCCAGGGCCGCCCGGCTGCGGGGCCGGGGGGGCGGGAGCGGGGGGTGTGGGTCACTGCACGGGTGGGTCCGGCCGCTGAGACCCCCCCAGCTCATCGCACCCACCCCCCCACCCCGAGGGGCTCCCTCTGCCGGCGGGAGGCGGCGGCGCGGGGGCAGCACCACGGACAGCGCCGGGCACCGGGACCAGCCCCGGGCCACGGTCACCGACCCCGGCAGTGCCACCGACCCCGGTAGTGCCACCGACCCCGCGGAAGTGTCACCGACCCCGCGCCAATTTGACCATCCCTGTGCCGGCGTCACCGGCCCGGTGCCAGTGTCACCGTCTCCGTGCCAGCGTCACCGACCCCACGCCAATATCACCATCCCCGTCAAAGTGTCACCGACCCCAGGAAAGTGTCACCAACCTCGTGCCAATTCGACCATCCCCGTGCCAGTGCTAGCGACCCGGTGCCAGTGTCACCATCCCCGTGCAAGTGTCACTGACCCCGTGCCAATGTGGCCATGCCCCTGCCAGTGTCACCGACGCAGTCAAAGTGTCACCATCCCCGAGCCACGGCACAAGCTCCGGGCAGGGAGGAGGGGGGGGCTGGCATGGGGGGGGTGGGGGGTTGGCAGGGACATCCCCGGGAACACGCCAGGGTGGGGACAGGGCAGGGATGGGACAGGGCCAGGGCCACCAGGCAAGTGTCATCGTCCCCGTGCAAATGCCACCCTCCCCGCGTCAGTGTGACCATCCCCGCGCCAGTGTGACCATCCCCGTGCCAACGCCACAGTCCCCGTGCAAACGCGACAGTGGTGCAAGCACAGCCCTGCTGCAAACGCGCCCCGGGACCGCGCAAACACAATGACGCCCCCGGTGCCAAGGGGACCCCCGCGCCAATGTCCCCGTGCCCGCGCCGAGGAGGTGCAGCCGAGCCCCGTCCCTGAGCAAACACGGCCGTGGTGCAGCCCCAGCGCGGTGCGGGTGCGCCCCAGCCCTGTGCAAACACAGCCGCAGCCCGGCACAGCCCTGGGGCACGTGTGACCCGGCCCCGAGCCAGCGCGACCCCGCTGTCCCCGTGCCAGCGCGACCCTGGTGCCAATGCGACACTGCCACCCGTCCCCGTGCCAACGCGACCCTCGTGCAAACGCGCCCCGTGGCACCCCTGGGCCGCAGCGTGACCCGGCCGGGCTGGGGGGTCCTG